AGTGTGTGTGAAGGGGGGCTGTAGGGTAGGATGTTTGCATCCCACCTTCTCAAACCTATTTCTCCTCCTATTTCCGCTGACCAGAGCGCTTCCCTCTTTCCCAACCAGGTGCTCTCAGAAATAGCAGAGCCTTTGCCATGCTCTGCCCCCAGTTTGGCACAGGGCTAGCCCAGAGGACACACGCACCCCCTCTTTGGTGTACAACAGCAGCTGCCCCAGGCTCAGTGCTCACAAGGAGGTGAAGGCGGTAGAAGGCTCTCACGGCCCTGGAGATGTCTTTTTTCCCCAGGACTTAGTGCCTGGGCTCTCCTTCAGAGATGGGTCATGTTAGCACCGAGCTGAGCACACAGGAGAGGCTGGGAGTGCAGCAGTTAGCACAGAAAGTGCCAGCGAGGGAAAGCCAGGCTGATGGCACGCTGCTCTGCCTGCAGGGCCCTCGCTCCTGCTGGGCACAGGCCCAGGGTACTTTTGGGACACAGCTCTGAGCTCCTGTGCTTGCCCTGCCCTCACTGCAGCTCCCTGGAGCTGAGCCCAGCTTGCCCTAGGTTGCAGCTGAGCAGGTGCTCAAGGCACAGAGGCAGGGCTGTGCCCTTGGCCACTCCTGGGATCTTCCTTTTGGGACGAGCAGCAACTTTGTCTGGAGATTCCCAAAGATCCTTTTTCTCTCTCCCAGCCTCCTGCTGGGCTCGCTCAGCTGATGGGGAGGCCATGGGCCTGGAGCCAGAGGGTTGGGTGCCCCACGGGGGTGCAGGGGTCTCTGGGAGTGCCAAGACACCTCCATGCCTCCTCCTCAGTGTCCCCTCGCAGTCGATGTGAGCTGTGCTTCCAAATGTGCTGCAGGCGGGGAGCAGCAGCAGGAGTCCTGCAAGGGAGGAGCAGCCCTTGGTGGGGGCTGAGGAGCACTCATGTCCCAGGCAGAAGAGGTGCACTCTGAAAACGGGTGAGGGCAGAGGACTGTGAAGAGCTGAGGCTGGGTGACCAAGGATGGTGAGGCCACGATGTTCTCCAGGGGTAGTGTATGGGCTCCTGACGTTTCAGGCAGGTCCCAGTGCATAAAGGAAGAGTTTCCATGGGACTTGGCTGAGTGGCCACTCCTCCCCTGCAGCAGCTGATAGAGGTGGGTTACAAACTGCTCGTCCCAGTACATGAGCGATTTTGGGTTAGGGTTAGCATTAGGGTTAGGGGTTAAGTTTAGGGTTAGTGTTAGAGTTAAGGTTAGGGGGTTTAGGGTTAGGTTTAGGCTTAGGGTTTGGGTTAGGGGGTAGGGCTTTGGTTCTTTTTCAACTTGTTCTTTTTGTCCATAAATCACCAGATGGTTTTGCGGGTGATGGGATGTTGGCTTGAGACAAATGGGAATGTCAGACCATCACCCCTCGTCCTATCACAACAGGCCCTGCTGGAAAGTCTCTCCCCATCTTTCCTACGGCCCCACTTTAAGAACGGAAAGGCTGCAATAACTATTCTATGATTAATAAGGTCTCCCTGGAGTCTTCTTCAGGCTGAACAACCCCAACTCTCTCAGCCTTTCCTCACAAGAGAGGTTTTCCAGCCCTCTGATCATTTCTGTGCCTCTAATGCTCTGCAATTTACTTAGTACCTAATCAATGGCAGTACTGCCCATCTGCAAGGTCAATGGGGCAAGCCTGAGCTGCGCAGAATCAGTGCTCACCGTGCACCTGGCCAGCACAGCCCTTTCACAGGAGCAGGCCCAGCACCCGCTCTACCAGAGTTGGTTTTGAGGGTACATCACTGCAGCTGCCCCTCTCTGATTTCCTGGTTCTTATTTCTTTTTAGTTATAGGAAATACCCAGAGTAGGAAAAACCACTTTATTCACCATCTGCATTGCTCTGCAGCTGCGCACAGGGGAAGCTCTCCTGCTCATGGGTGCTGTGCCAAGAAGCCGCCTGGAGCAACCTGTTGTTTGTCCCCTGCTGCAGCAGAATTTGCTGTGAAAACAAGATAAAAAGGCTGTGAAATCCCTCCAAGAACCACAGCAGCTCCCGCTGCCGGCCACTGACACTCAGCACCATCCTGCCCCATCAGGCACCCATCCTGAAGGAAGCCTGTCAATAAAAACCCTGCGGGTCCTCTCTTTTTCTCATTCCCCAGGTATTTTTGTTGTCCGCAGTTTTTCTAAGGCTTGTCCCAGCTGGAATCAACATCCTTGCCAGCAGCCGGGGCACTGCCATGACCCAGGAGCTCCAGGGCTGTTGTTCCCCTTTCAACTCTGATTAAAAATGAATAAATAAAATCAATCCTTTTCCGTGTCTGGATTCAGACAAGGCAACGCCTCTCTTGGAGGAATGCAAGGGAACAAAAACAAATCAAGTGTAAAATAAAACAGCAACCCAGGGTTTCTGCAGCTTCTCAGCAAGGCAGGGCACTGGGAGGGGGTTCCTCTCCCAAGTGGCAGAGGGTCCTGGGATTCTTTCATCCGTGTCCTTTGTTTAAAGCCAAATTAAAGAGGAAAATGAAGCGAGTGGATCTTTGCACCACCTTGTGCTGCCTATTATTCCAGAGCCCCAGGCCAGCCAGGCTGGGCCGGTACCACCACCACCACCAGCTCCATTTCCCATTACAAGCTAATTGTCCTTTTACTCATTAACTCTGATCGGACTTGCACACTTTCCTTCTGATCGGACTTGCACACTTTCCTTGGTATTTTTCTGCCCCTCAATCTTTCTCAAGAAGTGCTCCGCAGCACAGGACACTGGGTGCTGCCTGTGTTTACAGCATCAGAGCAGCAGTTAATGCTGCCCAGACTCAACCCTTTAGTTTAGGGGCAGCTTCCAAACATCTGGTCTGGTCTCACACATCAACTTCTTCTCCAGCAGAGCCGGCCTGCTCAGGGCTCCCAGGTCCTGTCAGCTCCAGGAAGAAAATGCAATTCTGGGCTTAGTTTTGTAAAGTCACCCAGGGCAAGAATGGCCCAGCCTGCTAAAGCCCAAACAGGGGATGGGTTTATGATGGTTTCTCTTAAAATAACCACATAGGAGCTGCTGAAGCCGGGTTTTCAGCCCAGTGGTCCCAGCCCTCTTCCCAAAGCAAACATTACAGCACTGAGAAACAGAAATGAAAATTACTGCATGGATTTGCCACGGGCCTAAGCTTGCAGAAATTAAAAATGAGCTGGGCTTCCAAACTTCCTCATTTCCCAGGATCACAGGTTTATTAACAAGTTTCTCAGCAAGGATTTTTTTTACTCTACATCCAACATAAGCCGCAACCTGAAGTGACATGCATATAGCCCTGTTCTGTTTTCCCACCCTCAAAAGGCCTGGGGACAGCAACCCCAGTAAGAAGCACAGGCTTGAACAGGCACCCCCAGCAGCGGCAGACTTGCCATGGCTGCTTTCAAACAAGAGCACAGCAGAGCCCAGCTGCAAACACAGCTCACGTGGAGACCTGTTCTGTGCTGATCACAGGATCGGTTTGCTGAGAAGGGACCTTAAAGCTCATCCAGCTCCAACCCCTGCCACGGGCAGGGAGCCCTTCCACTGGAGCAGCTTGTTCCAAGCCCCTGTGTCCAACCTGGCCTTGAGCACTGCCAGGGATGGGGCAGCCACAGCTTCTCTGGGCACCCTGTGCCAGCGCCTCAGCACCCTCACAGGGAAGAGCTTCTGCCTAAGAGCTCAGCTCAGTCTCCCCTCGGGCAGGTTCAAGCCATTCCCCTTGGCCTGTCCCTACCTCCCTTGTCCCAAGCCCCTCTCCAGCTTTCCTGCAGCCCCTTTAGGCACTGGAGCTGCTCTGAGGTCTCCCCTTCAGGAGCCTTCTCTTCTCCAGGCTGCCCCAGCCCAGCTCTCTCAGCCTGGCTCCAGAGCAGAGCTGCTCCAGCCCTCGCAGCAGCTCCGCGGCCTCCTCCGGCCTCGCTCCAACATTTTCGTTTCCTAATGGCGCTTCCCCTCTATGTGGCCTAGTAGAAGGTGTCCCTACCCGTGGCAGGGGGTTGGAACTGGATGTCCTGGTATTGGCTGGAAGAGAGTTACTTCCTATTTCACATTATTCTGCATATGCTCATTAGCACCTTTCCTCTTCACAAAGATCTTCACCAGTTTAAGATTTCCTTACGAACAAGTCTGATCCTAGCCCCTGAGACACATCTTGGAACCCCTCCCAACATTTTTTGGCATCACAGATCAATAATTCAGGAAAGACTGACTCCAGGGATCAGTAGGCAAGCAGTGAGAATGCTGAAAACCTGGAGTTGCTTTGCAAGGTTTACAGGGATTAGTAATTTGCAGTGTGGGTGCTGGTGATTAGGCAAGTCGTCTTGTACCTGAATGATTGAAGGGCATAAGGACCCTCTGTAGAGGCACATTTGTGTGCTCCAATGGAGCAGGGGCATGACATGCACATGAAAAAATATTTGTTCTTCTAATTCTACCCTTTGCATCCTAGCCTCTTGCCTTGGTCTTCATGGGTCAGCTTGATTTTTTTGTGACACAGGCTTGGGGCTCACCTGTGGGCCGGGGCTTTTGCTGGCTGACGCCAAGGCAGCGTTGGATGAGGCCACAGAAGGCTGGAGCAAGCTGGGCAGCCACTGCAGCGCCAGCTCTGGAAAATCGCTGTGTGAGCCCCAGCCAGCAATTCCCACTCACCAGCCAGGTGTGAGCTGAGTTTCCCATGCTCAGCCAGTCTCAGCCTAGCGCCTGGGGCAGCCATGGTTCCTTCCCAGGGCTGGATCCAGCCCGCTGCAGTGATGCTGGTCCTGGGGCAGCGATGGAGGTCTCTATCCTCCTGGCATTGATACTAATCAATATGGCTTCCCCCATGGCTTCACAGCACCCGGAGCAATGCCCCAACTACCCATCCTCTCAGCGGCCATCCCCATCCCAGCTCAGTCACCTGCAGGGTGCCAGGGGCTGCATTAAGCCCCTACCCACTTCCCGCTGTGCAAATGACTGCAGGCAGAGAGGTGCTGTGAAGCAAACACCCAGACCTTTTAATGAATGGAACAAGAAACAGGGATGGGGAGAGGGCTGGGGCAGGTCCTTGACCATCAGTGGTGTCTTCTTTGATGGGGGGACCTTGACCTTGAGCAGTGACGACCATGTGACCTTCTCCTGGAATAGTCACGACTCTTCCTCCTGCTTCTTCTTGGATACTGCGGTGATGGCAAGTTGGAATGTGAATGGGAACAACTGCGTGAGCCAGAGTAGCAGCCAGTGCAGGAAGGACCTGATCTTGGCTTGGAGTAGGTATGCGAACTCCTAAAGTAAAATGAAGTACGACAGTGAGGCTGGGATCTTAAAAAAACCCACAACACACACACACACAAATGGAAGTTAATTCAAAACAGTCATTCTCGCTAATTTTTTTCCTCCCAAACTTGGTTTGGGCTTTCTTCTCTTTTAGCTGCTAACTTAATGCTACTGCAAATTGAAGAGCTAAACATAGCCTCCAGCAGTATTACTCAAGCCATTATGTAGGTTTCAATTATAGGTTTAAACTAACAATAAAGTGTATGACTTTAAACTAACACAGTAAAATACAGCAAACTGTTCTTACAGACACGCAGGGAATAAGGAATGTCCAGCTGATGGGGGAAGGAACATCAAGGGAATGGTAACAACTAAGGAGGCAGTAAGTAAGACCAAGGATGCAGACCTTCAGGATAACAGAGACCGGAACGCAAAGAAAGCAAAGCCGTACCTCTGCTAACTCAGCACTAGGACCTTGCGAGCATGCGCAAGCAAAAATGTCACTCAGTAAACACAGTAAGGCAGACTGTGGGCGACCATCAGAGACCCCCACTCCGCAAGAAAGCGCATGTGTAATTGAGATGCAGATATTATAATTAGCTCCTGGGAATCTCGTGAGTATGGAAATGCTCTCCTGGAAAGACTGTAAATATGCATGAGTATGCTGAATACAGAGCTGCTGACGGCAAGGAACGGGCACGCTCACCTTTGCGGAACTGTTTGCGTGTGCGCCCAGCGCTGCAATAAAGAAAGCTGCTTTCTGAAACTCCACATTGAGCCTTAGAGAGTGTTTTTTGTTAATAACAAACTGCTCAAGAGCTGATGTTCTGCGTGTAGTATTGGTAAGAGGTGTGTTAGATGTAGGTAGGAAAAAGAGGATGTGGAATTATTACTGAGCCATTCAAAAATCAGTTACCAGTTGTATTCCCCGCAGCTCTCTGTGCACACTTATTTGATTATGGATCAGCTGTTGTCTAAGTCATACGTTACAGCCTAGGTTACCAGTAGTTACATATTGAATTTCTATAGCATACTTACAGTTCACAGCTTGTTCTGGCACCTGGTGAGTGGATGGTACTGTCTGCCCTCGGATGACCTTTTGGAGAGGGGAGAAGCAAAAGAAAAAAGACCCATTCAGCTTATCTGAAGGTAATTTTTTATCACAAGTTCTAAAGCTATCATTACTTACCAGCTGTGGGTACCGATTGCCCTTGGGAGCCCAGAAGACTTGGTAGCGCTAGCTGTCTTCGTACAGGAACTTGAGAGCCCTTGTGAATAAAGGCAAACAGCTGCAAAATAAGCTCTACTGAAATCCTGGAGTCACTGCATATGTGGAAATAAAGCTTACCTTCTCTTCCAACAAGCTGCGGATTGACAGAGAGGAAGATGGAGGCAGTTCAGCGGCAGTCACCAAAGCAGCAGGAGGGATAACAGTCGTGAGTGGTGCTGCAGGTGGTGGCGGCGGCTGCTGCTGCTGCTGAATCTGCTTACGGAGCCTTTTTGTGTAGCCAGCTCCATTTCTGAAGTTGTTCACAGCCTAGAGGCAGAGGAACATTTTATAAAGGTAATCTGAAACTTCAGCAGATACACCAACAAAACCTCCACGGAGTAAAATGACTCGTGTACTCCTGGAAATGCTATCAATCCTAACAGCATTCGACCACAGCTATATAAACACACCGCATTCAACACTGATGTCAATGAGGGTTAACTCAGGGTATCTGTATTTAAAATACTTCAGTGTTAACACCAAATTTGAAAGTGAGGTGATTGTGTTAAACAGAAGCGTGACCTGAATTTGTCAGATTGTCTCTAAAGAGCTGTCAGAGATAATGTGTTTGAAAAGTAAATTTAGCCTTATTCAATTTAGCCTTGCTTAAGGCTAAATTAATGTTACAGTAATATTGTCTTCTCTTTCAGCTCCTTACAAGCTCTTTGTACAACTGATGTAAAACTCATCACACTACCTGGCGTAGGCTCTGGTTGGCAACTAAAGCATCAGGAGAAACATCTGTCTGATGACACGCTGGGCATGTAAATTCCTCAGACTCCAGCAATGCTGTTCTAATACCTGTGCATAATTAGTGTAATCACAATACAATAGTTTTTATCCAAACTAAGGAAAGTTGTTGGGTTCTAACCAAAACACGTGTATGATTCATTGGTGAATGTGGTCTTGAGGGTACAGCATGAAGCTACAAAGCACATCTCAAAAACAAGCATTGGTAGCTCTGAGTTCTGAAGGTTTGAACCAGCTCTCCCGTGGAGAAGAATGTGGATTAAATGCCTTACTATCCGTTTGCTGTAGACCACAGTCAGTCACCAGAGATGGCTGTATAATTTTGTGTGAGAGAAAGGGCTGTGGACAAACATTTGATACCTAATACTGTAATCACCTGCACAGTTAGGCACTCCTCTGCATGTAAAGAGGATGTAACTGGATCTGTAGAAAGAGAACCAGGTTTTCTGCCTTTTCTTTTTTGGTGTTTTCGTTTTTTTTTTACTTTATACGAGACGAGTCCTTTCCTAGTCAAGGTATACTTAGGTTTTAATTAGAACAGGTAACAAAGTAATCTTGTTATCTGCTATGTTTGCTTTCAGAAGATGAGATGTGATGTTTTGAATTAACAATATGGGAATAACACTTACATTCGTCACAATAACTGCTTCTACAGCAGGGAAGAATAGCTGCATCAGTCATTATATCTTTACAAATGAGACATAACAGCTCATCCGGAATAGGACCATCAGAAGAGGAGGAGGATGGCTCCTCTGGTAAAAATGGAGGCCTTTCCCTCTTTCCTCTAGCATAAGCTTCCCTGGAGGGCGTGTGGGGAAGAAAAAAAGAACAAATTTAAAGATGGGTAAAGGAATACTTTTCCGAGTTTTGCATTTTATCAAAAGAAGATACTGGACAGAATTCTTCTCACTCCACGTTAGCCTTCTGAAGTGTAGGCACTGAGCTGAAACTACTTTTCTACAGCCATAACTCTGTAAAATAAAAACTCGGAGGGGGAGGAAATCTCAACCCAACAGCTATTGGTTACAGTTTTGTAAGAAGCGTTTGAAACATAAACCAGAAGCAAAATGAGCTCTCAAAGAGAACGAGTCCCCTGCCAACACTACCAAAATGTTTTGCAGAAATACAGATCCCTGGTGCACCACAACCTGAACCAGCTTCCAGGGGCATGACAAGTATGAATGACCACTCTCTTTTTTAGAGGGTAAGTGTCACAGGTCTTAAGGTTAAAATGCAAGGACTGCGCTTCCTCTCCCTTAATTACAGATGCAGTCCAACTTGGTGGCATGGCCACTCAGATGTTTATGCCTGCTTTCTCTCATTCGCTTTTTGGTCAGTCCAATTAATTCCATACTTACGCATTAATAACCGGTATTGCATATTTGCCGGTGTTTGTCAGCATCGCACCCTTCGTGTTGGGATCTTTCACCTCTATCATGAAACTACTTGGAATTCCTGTGCTCCTTTTCAGTCTGGGAACAGACTGGACATTTTTGTCCTGTTAGGAAAAGAAATGCAGACATACCTCATCTTAAGACCTACACTTAAAATGACAGTTCAGTGATGACTGTAAGAAGCAAAACCCTTTAAATCCTCTCCTTTTACCCAGCGTGAAGGTTGTTCAACTGAAATACTTCTTTTCCTAAATGAACATGGCCAGGATGTTCCTAAGTCAGCTATTGCTCCTAAGTCAGCTTCTCAGGGAAGTGGTGGAATCACTGTCCCTGAAGTGTTCAAAAGAACACATAGATGAGGCCCTTAGTGACATGGTTCGTGATGGATTTGTCAGTCCTGAAGTATCAGTTGGACTTGATGCATCTCTTCCAACCTAGTTGGTTCTCTGATCCTGTGAAAGGCTTCAGCAGAGTTTTGATCTGAGTCGACATTCTTTGGCTTAACAACAGGTTTCTTAAGGGTGAAACATCCCTTGCCTCATGATGCACTGGGAGAAGAGATACAAACCTGCTCCCCCCCCCCCCAAAAGCACAATTCAGAGGGAAAGCTTAAGTCAGGGCTCTGGGTCAGCCACTGGAGAAACATCTATTCACCAGCTATAGATGAAGCTTGAATTCATACCTCATGAGTATACATTCAGGGACTAATGTTAAAGGGCATGAATACTCAACCAGGGACTTGTGTCAGTAAAACACACAAATATTCAGTAGATGGGGTCAACAGAAGCATCTTGATTTCGTGCAAAATCCTGAAAACGTGAACTGTCATTAAAAAGAGCTAAACCAGAAACATTTCCAGTAATATTAAAATACATAAAAATATGCATGTAAACTCACAGGTGAAAAGATCTATGGACTTACTTCAGGCCTGTGGCTTAGAAAAAAGAAAAAATTACATTTATAATCCCGGCTTTCCCTTGAACTTTGAAGGGCTTTTCAGCATTGCCATGTAACCTCTGTATTTCCCCTCAAGAGTTCTCAATACGATTATTCCTGTATTTGGTACTTGACTGCCATGGTCAGAAATTAAACAAGGTCAGAAAGTAACACCGGAAGTCCCCAAAACCTTACCCCGTTTCTTGGGCAGTCCTTTCTATAGTGGCCAGGTTTTCCGCAGTGAAAGCAAACGTACGATGGTGGAGGTGTACCCAAGGGCTTCTTCCTGTAACTGAAAAGGTTTCAGGAAGAAAAAGGTATGCATGTGTCTCTACACAATTTTTCCCATAATCATCAAAGGACTGATTTGACATTATCTACACTTACTTGACTGGATCATATTGACGGGCAGACTGTATCATCATGGCTTTTATTTTATCTTCTTCAGAAGCATTGGCTTCAGCCAGGTTGGCAGTCTGTTTAACACGGAATTATTTGACACACACATTAGAAACACATGCAAGCTCACCCAGCCAAAGACAACACCACTTGCTCAGTCCTGTAAAGGGCACCACAATGCTAGCTGATGTTGCCTGAAAACAGATGCTTCTATAAGACACAGTTGTCCTGAGCGTGCGCTGGGGAGACTTTGTGCTTCTACAGGATGCTTATGTGCCCGCTAGCCTACTTGAAAAGAGCATTCTTGGGCACTCAAAACCTTAGGCTTGACATAGACTTGTGTAACCGATCCACTTTTCTTCCAGGTGGACTGAAGTGATCAGTAAAAGAAATGACCTAGCAGTAGTTTTCAACGGGTTTTGAAGCTCCAGCCCATTTGAAGGAGAAGATAGCTACTGTGCATTTAACTGAGAAAGATTTCTGCAAGTTATAGTATTTACATTCTGCAGCACTAAAAAGAACACACAGTGTTAGTGGCAGGGCTGTAGTTTTTGCTTGCTGAAACTCAGCATCAGACACAAAAGCACTGAAAGGAATCTTTCTGATCCCTCAGCAAGACACAAGGTTCTTTTCAGTAGAAATGTGACCACCGTGTCCTGTGGGCAATCCAAACTGCATTTACCCCCTACTAACTTCTTCCTACTAAGGAATTTAACTACAGAGAGCACAACCTGCAGGCTTTTCCAGGGGACTGTGTCCTTTTAATGGACGTATTGTAATACCACCCACGTGCAGAACTAGATCTTGAAGCCAGCTGATTTTTCTGGTGCTTTTATTACACACTAGTCCATACACAAGAAAGGTCTAAGGGAGTGCCTGTAAATGATTCGGACCTCCAACCACCCATCTTTCAGATCAACCACGTACGTCTTCACTTCTACACGCATTCGTTCACAAGAGCAATCAACCAGTTTCTGCATTTTATTAAGTGGCTTGTTCACATACACAGTTTTTTCTTACCAGTTATACGATCCAGATGGACATCTATGAAATCATTTCCATTAACGTTTACAGGAAACTTTGCAGACGTTTGACTGATTTGTTCAAACCCAAACAGTTTACAAAACATATCCAAACCCCACAAAACATTACTAGCAATAGACCAAAATTCAACTATGGCATTTACTGCACTGTAATAATAAAACAGAAACTAGTTCACAGCACACTGCCCCTGTGCTAAGCCAGCCTGAATAACGTGTTTCGAGCAAGTAACAGTTTTGAGCTGCCTTATGTGTTGTTTGTGCGTTTCTCAAAAGATTCAATGTGCACACCACAGTTTTCCACATTTGAGAGTAAAACTTCACATGGGTTTACAGAACCAAGACACGCAGGGACAGCCGAAGGCCCCAGATTTCATTTCTTCAGCGAGAGAGGGAAGATGCTGCCGGTGGGAAGACCTCTCGTTCTTAGAAATGAACTCCTGCCTCTCTTCTCAGGAGAAAGAACTAACTCCCATCTTTTCCATTTAATTGGCTAGCGCTACGCTTTTTCACAAAGGGCAGTCATTAGTGTCCTGCCAAAGTTACACAGTGTTGAGGCAAAGGAGCAAGCAATTCCATCCCAAAACAGGCCATTGCAACATTTTCAGCTGGTCACATCTGCTAACACACCGCAGATACACACTGGTACATTCCTCTGAACAATCAAGTACACAATTTACAGAGTTGGCACAGTCTGCACGCAAACAAATTTGATTGCGTTCTCCACTGTCCAGAGGCTGGAATTCAGGGGACTGTGCCGTGTTCAAAGAATGTTTCTATGCCTCTAATGACCAGAAATTCAAAACCAGCCATGCCTTTGTCCAAGTTCCAGAAACACTTCTACTTCAGCTGTTGCAAACTGCCCTGAAATGTCCATACCACACAGCCAATTAAATTCTTTTGTAAAGATGCTGTTAGATTCCAACACAAACTTAATGAAACATAGGAAAAACAGTAAACAGCTTTTGAGGTACTGCTGCTTTATGTCCTGAAGATGAGTTACGCTGCAACATTATGTTGAGGCTGAGAAGGTACTCCCCTTCTGTCTTCCCAAACTGGCAAGTACTCTTTACAGCACAGTATCAAATTAGACATACCTGTTAAACTAAATACTTTATTAAAAATTAAAGTTTTGTTCACATTACAACACTTATCCATCTATAGACTGCAAGTGAGGCTTAAAAACATGAAGGAAACACTTATTTTTAAATATTTTACAACAATACAAATATACACACCTTTAAAAGCTGGGCCAGAGAAAGAGATGCAGAAGGCTCATCATTCACCTGTTCAGCAAAAAAAATAAACGCATATTCAAGTTCTATAATCAAAACATAGCAAGAGTTAACCTCTACTGCAGTCTGAAAATCTGCACTCTATCCTCTGCGTGTCACTGAAAGAGGCATTGCCAGCCTACTGTAATTTGTATTTGTTCAGAATAAAGTCCAAACCTGTGACAGCTGAAAAGTGCCTATGTGGCTAATGAGACGAAACTAAACTAACCAACTCACTGGAGATAGACTTACTGCTCCAGAGTACCTCAGAGAGGGGCCTTTGTGAAAAATGCTGAAGTTTATTTGAGAAGGAAACATCACTACAGGAAACTTACTTGCAGTGTAGTTTGTAAATTGGTCAGCTAATGTCTCATCATTTAAACATGCATTTATACAGTTATGCTTTGACAAATAACTGCAAAGATGCCAAACTCACCATACCCCACCAAACCCAAACACCAATCTGAACCACCAGCCATAAAAGTAACCTGCCAATTTGTCTAGGAAAAAAAGAAACTGCTCAAATTACTGGGAAAAACAAAAAAAAAAAAGGTGTTTACTATGACAGAATAGCCTATAAAAATGGAGAAAAAATATTTCTTGTATTTTAATAGACCACAGGACACACTCTCCAAATCAGTTTGGGAAGTGTGAGAATTTTTGTTCTTCTTTCTATCAGACCAAACCCAATCTTTCCTGACGATGAAAGCATGGATTCAAAGCACAGTCATGGCATTTCTTCCTCCATTGCAAACATACTCCTCCCTCCCAGCTGCCTACGCCTGTAGCTTGCCAATGAAGTCCTCAGGCCGCTGGTTAGGAATGGGCCGCAGTGTTTGCAGAGAACTACTGCTGAAGTGCAGTTTGTACAAAAAGCACAGAAAAGGCTGTACAAACTCACAACATTATTAACTATAGGCAGACAGATCTCGAACGTGGCACCAAGTTGAATTGGGCACACCTGGAACCTGCGTGAACTAAAGATGATCAGGCACTATCTGCACAACACAAAGTCACACAGGACATATCCTAGCGTATGCAATAGGAAATACCATGCATTACTAGGCATAAATCCCAACATTCACATCAGAACTCTGCAAATTGATGGCGTGACTCAGTTTTCACTATGATGAATCAGTGCATTGGAATTACACTCTGGACTGTGTTTTACTGGAAGACAGATGAAGTTAATGTTTGGAAAATTAATACAAGGCTACATTGTTTAGAATTCAGTGCAGTGCGTAGAAAAACGGGTTAGATCGGGTCTTTACATACTGCTTCTGATGTTCTGCTCGCTGGCTCCGTTCGACTTCTAGGAGGAGACAGAAAGGTGATCAGAACTTAAAATAAAGCACTTGTACCCAACAGAAAGCACCAAAAATCAATTATAAATCCCGAACATCAAAACATTATGTTCCCATAGTCTAGGGAATATGGAAATTTATTTGTGTACACAAACTCTTATCTCTTGGTCATTCAGTGCAACTAAAAAACCTCCAAAATCCCATTTCTGCTTTGTCACAAAGTCAGACTTACAGATACAGAACACAACAGTGCAAGAGAAAGTCCTCAGATATTTTCTCTGCCACATCAGTATCAAATATATCAAGTCTCTAGTACAGCTTTGTGTTCTTAAATAATCAACCCTCACACTATGAACGTAGCTTCAGGCAATCTGTACATCCCTAGTATTACAAACAGCTGTCACATACAGTACTTTAGTTTCTATGGCGGAACAGTGATAGTCCCAACACTTCAAAGGGCAAGTTTACTTCAGTGAAAAAAAAATCAGTCATCTGACAAAGAAATAACAAAACTGTCAGCAGCTTAGTTTTAGAAGAGTGTTTCTTTGTGGAAGCCCAAGCACTGTGTTCAGGTATCTACCATGCTTAGCTGTGAAAGTGCCAAAGTACTAGACATGTTACATACGCTTTATTGACTAAGAATAGGAGTAGGAATGTCACCTGAAAGAAGCTGCTCCAGGGGTTTTGTGTGACTGAGGAGCCCTGTGACCAAAAAAAAAAGTCTTAATTGCACTGCACTGCAGAACTCTCTTCGCTATAAAAGCCATAAAAGCGAACACATATAACAAGGAATCTCTCCACGCAGACAAAACAGGATCTACAACTTGGTTCCCATAAAAATTAACCCCAAGAACAAACCCTATAGAAACATTTTAAAAGTTTCCATTGTTGGAGTTTGAACCCCGTATCCCAGCAGGCCTAAAAACATAAGTCTGCTTTGGGACCGATACATGAAAATCTACTCAGTGACTACAAAATCTAACGGAAGCTTTAACAAGAAAGATACAATCTGAAGGCCTCAAATGCATCACAACAGTTCACGCACTGAAACCAACAGCCAAGAATGCAATGCTGTGTGGACACTTACGGAACATCTGTTTTGCCGGTAGCTTTAACTCCTCCAGCAGGGATTCTTTTGACAATTACCGATGAGTTTTTAGGAATCAGGGCATCTTCTGTGTATTCTGAAACCAACAGAAGTACAGAAAAAGACATTCAAAAGGACACGTATTAATACATAATTAACTACACAGTGCTCCAGAGAAGGCCTCTACAGATACAGAAGCCAAATTTCGTATGTAACATCGTGCTTTCATTGTCTGAACACACTAACAGTACCTATCAAGACATTTTCAGGTTTGATAACCAAACACCAGCAGCTAAACCTTTTTTTAAAAACAGTTTGAATGCCAGCAGCAAAAGGGTCTCAGAGGTCACTACGGGACAGCCTGCTAATACAGGGGGGGCTTTCCTGAACTAACTGAGGTTGCTTTTGCTTCTATTAGGCTACAAAACCAATAGATCTCTGGAGAAAAACAAACCACCACAAAGTCTCACCTGCATAAAGCAGGTTCTAAAGTCTGACTAGCTTGCTCAGAAACAAGCCAGGCATTAGTGAAAGCATGAAAACTCAGGTCCACTGCTTTCACCACTGTTAACTGAGTCACTTCTGCTGCTGGTGCTCCAGAGTGAAAGAATGCAGAAGAGAGCCTGCCACCTTTCTCTGTTTCTTGGAGCTTAATCCATCCAAAGCCACACTTCTCATCTGCTCAGTGCTTTACATTTGCTTGATCAAGTCTGACACTAAGACTAGATCCAGCCACACCTAGGCTCCATCAGGAGTTTAGAAAGCCAGGGGGTCCACTCTGAACATTGTGTCTCAGTGGGAGGGCTTCCTTTTTTCATCTTTGGTTTCCATGCAAATCATTTTAGCTGGATTCTACCTTGATTTTCTTTTTTGACATTCCATTAGACATGAACCATTGACCAAGCCTGAGACTAAGGCTAGATCTAGCTTCACCTAGTCTCCCCTCAGGGGTTTAGAAAGCTCGGGGCTCTCTTCTGGACATTGTGGCTCAGTGTGCACATTTGACAAACTGGTGTAGCCAGCAGGATGCTCAATCAGATTTCATGACTCCACCCCACTTAATCCCTGGCACTGCTTACCCTCTTGGTGCTCCTGCCAGCTGGCAGGATGGGCCCCAGGCTCACTCGTGCCATGTGCGGATGAGCCATAAAAGGCAGAATGCAGCTTCTGCTGGCTGCGGCCATCATGGGGTGCTCTGCAACGTCGCCAGCCAGGACATCCCCAAAGCCCAGCACATGCTGCGCACACGTACCTTCTTTGGTCTGGGCATTGCTGATCTGCAGGTCACAGTTGGCTGCCTTCAGCTTCTCCTTGCGCATGATCTTGCACTTAAGGTCGCAGAGGGAGATGTTGAGGCCACTGAAGGTGACCGTATCATAGTTCAGCTTGGAGAAGAACTTGTAGTGGATGCAAGACATGGTCGGGGCCAGGCAGCGCCTGCTCCACTACCGTGTCTAGCTCGGCAAATGTTCAGAGGCTGCAGCACTCTGCCACAGCCAGGCCCTGACACATCAGGCAGCCTCGACTGACAGAGCCTCAGGCCTCCATCGTGGCGTAGTGAGGCCCTGGCTTTGCCACCTAAACAGCTCCAGGCTATGGCCCTCAGCACATGAGCTGTGCTGTGTGTTGGCACCTGCCCCAGTCCTACTCAAAGCCCAGGGGGGGAGAGTTCCCCAAAGCCCTAGCTGGCCTCAGTGTCCTCTCCCGCATGCAGCACTCCGAGGCCTGACCAACCTCTACGGCGACTCAAGCACCTCTGCCCCAGTTGCCACAACACAGCGCACCCAGGCGACCCAGCGCACTGTGACAAAAGGCTCGTGTCAAGGGCAGGTCCAAGCTCCCCCACCCAAGCAGGGGGACCCGCCCAGGTGTGACGGGAGCTGCTCCTGTCCCTGCTGTCACCCCAGCCTGACCTCACACAGCGACCACCCTGTCATCCCCACGCTGTCACTACAGTGACCCTCCCGTCAACATCCAGCCAGGGTGAAACATCCTGGGCCGGATGCAGCCCCTCTGTGGTGCTCAGCTCTCCGTGCCACGGAGTCAGCAAAGGCAGGGGACATAACGAGGTGCTTGAGCGCATCTTAAAGAATCACAGACTTCAGTCAAAGCAGCCAATGACCATTTATGTTTATTGCCATCAACCAATGGACTTCCCCAGTGTCACACATCCAGAGTTGCTTGAACTCTGCAGGAAAGGACTAAAAAGTAGCAAATGAACCACCAGCACTGGGAGAGGCCCAGGATAGAATCAGTATCTCTTCTGATCCCCTCACTATTAACTACTGATAGCTACAGGAAAAAGTGTTGCAGCCCTCTGGCAGAATGTAGCTCTAAATTCCCCCTCTTTGTAACAGCTCTTGTATCACAGTGAGGGGCTCCAAAACTAGAACAAGCTATATAGCAAACACGTCAAGGCAATTAGAAAAAGCCATTCCTGAAAGCGCAAACAGCATTATAGCCCTACAGGAAGAAACCAAATCCTTATCACAAATGGTAATACGGAATCAATCAGCTCTAGACCACCTTTTAGAAGTACAGGACAGAGAATGTGCATGACAGAGCATGTGCAGTATTGACTAATAGCCACTGGGGTTTTATGTGAATCAGTACCAGAACAACAAAACTGACAGGAACAAGATAAAGCCTCATTTAAAAATATTACATGAAGTAAGGCAGGGATTTCCACTAAACCCATTTGGGTGGCTAACTTCCTGCCTCCCAACAAAGATAGAGGACTGTGAACTAAAAGGAGCTGAATTGATGTCTCTCGTTTTGCTTTGTAACGATGTATGTCCTCAGTGTTGTGTGACCTTATGGACACAACTTACGCCTTGAACAGTGAATAGGACAGTGTGACCCTAAAGGTCACAAGAAAAGGAGGGACTGTCAGGAAAATCTCTTTCCCTAACTATTATAGCAATTGGTCTTCAGACTATGAAGCTGGATGAACTTTCTTCAGGTAGATATAGTTGACACTGTAAGCTGTATAGCTGTGGTTCAGTCAGCACAACTGAAGAACCCCAGCTCACTGCAAGGGGGAGAAGAACAGCCCCAACTCTGAAGAAGAAAGGATACCTCTGCACTACCCAGAACAGAGCAGCAGCCCAGCCCCTCTGACATCTCAGTTTAACCCTTCCCTCACCTCGCAGCACAGAGAAGGTACGGCAGCAAGACCAGCTGCAGGGATGTCTTGGTCAAGAAAGCAGCAGATGGAGGACAACGCCACACAATTAGAGCTGCTTTGCAAAACAGGAGTATATGTGTGTGTTGAGCAGGCACTGGTCAAACCACTGAGCGCTTGAAAGGTGTAAGAACCATGTGTAAGAACCACATCCTGTTTAGCCTAGAGAAGAGGCGACTGAGAAGGGATTGTCATCAATGCATATAAATATCTGAAAGGCAGGTGCCAAGATGATGGTGCCAGACTCCTTTCATTGCTACCCGGCGACGGGTTGAGGAGCAATGGCCATAAACTAAAGCACAACAAGTTTCATCTCAACACGAGGAAGAACTTCTTTCCAGTGAGGGTGTCAGAGCACTGGAACAGGGTGCCCAGGGGGGCTGTGGAGTCCCCCTCTCCGGAGACATTCCAAAACCACCCAGACACATTCCTGTGTAACTTGCTCTGTGTGGCCCTGCCTTGGCAAGGGGTTGGACTGGAAGATCTCCAGAGCTCGCTTCCAACCCTAACAATTCTATGATTCTGTAAAACCACGCTCAGGATGCCCCACAGTTTGACTGGTACACCTCATGGCCATGAACACAGAATTACTCTTGAAATTCTGTATTTTGTGTCCTAGCCTCTCTCCCTGGATAGCACATGCCAGTGGGAGAATTTTAGACGCTACTCCTCTCCCCGGTCTGAAAGGCGTCCTCCAAGGCACTGCCCCTGTGGAGGCCCAGAAGCCTTCTGTTCATGGGGGGACACTTTACCTCCATCATCGCACTGCCCTCCCAGGAAATGATCACTCTGCAAGGAGTCTCACTGAAAACGTAGCTTGAATAGGACTGCTGTGTGATGCAGGTCAGGTTGGCTATGGGGAATGGCCAAGCCATTCTGTGGTGAACTGGAGACAGTGGCAGAAAGTCCAGGGTACCCAGCTGCCAGTACTGGGGCTCAGCAGGCTGCAGGACACACGGAAATTCCCAGCTGCTCACCAGTGCTGCTGACAGACATCAGGGTTTCTTGAGATGCCACTGCTGGTCAGAAGGCTACGTGCAGCAAAACATCTGCCCGCGTGACGAGGCCTAAAGCAGAAAAACACAGTTAAAAAAGCATCCACGTGCACAAGGGAACCCTCCGGCTTCTCCCCCCAAAATCAACCGCATCCTTAGATGAAGCAGACAGAGGCTTCAGCAACAAGCCCAAGAACTTACGACGTGTGCTCCTGACCACCTATTTTCAGTGCATGTTGCAAATGCTCTCAGGCAGCTCACTACCCTGATCCAGGTTTTAGAAAGCTGCACAACTACAAACCTCCTCCACTTACACCCTGAGCCACAGAAAAGCACACACAGGGCAAGTGGGATGTGCTAACACCCTGGTTAAGACATTCACTGCTCACTGGGCTGCTCCAGGTAGTTGCACTGGCATGAAAAGGACACTTTGTATCAGCAGCACATCACACCTTTGATGGTCGGGGTCCACTACAAAGATGGTTTCCATTCTGTCACATCCTCTGAGCTTTAACAGCTGGCAGAGCTGGTTCACCCAGGGTCTCGGTACCACCCAGGCACATCACCTGCAGTCCAGCAGTACAGCTGAAAAGACCGTGATGGCCTGCGTTAACACACTGGCACGCAGCTGGGATGTAAATACTGCCAAATCATCTCTCAGTTGCAGCAGAGTACCAAATTTAGCAAAATTAGCCTTACTTCTGATTAAGCTTTCCTTACAGACAGCTCATCTTCTTTGTTTATAAACTATAGTAAAGACCTGCTCTAGCATGAAGACTCAAACCCTGCCGGCAATGAAGCAGCCGTTCAGACAAGCTGCACTATTTTTTTCCCTCATTCCTCCTTCCTTCACAGAAATCAATCCCTACCAAAAGTACCAAAAGCTCTGCACAAAGACTGCACAGAAAAGCCAACTGCAAGTGCTTTTACCTGCTACTATTTTATCAGGCAGCATTCTGGGAAGAAACTAGCTTTTCCCGCTAGCTTTGCTACAGCTTCACTGCCTTTGAAGACAACGCTTGTTACATTTACCAAGCCAAGGCAACCTCATAGCTCAGCAAAATCATGCTTCCTGTAAGAAACCTTCACCATAAGGTGAAGACAGGCACGCTATAGGAACAAGTTACTCTCAAGAGACTCTTTCAAGCGCTCTTCCCTGTGCTTACCAAAGTTCACAGAGCATTAGAAAACAACAATGAAAAAGCAGGGCTCTCTCTCCCGTTGACAGAGCCCATTATACCACGTGTTCAGTCCAACTCCAGTGTGAACCCCAGAATAAGAAATGCAGTCTTCAGGTTTCTGGAAAAAAAAAGGAAGAGCTTTGAAGTGGCAAGACCAGAGAATGTTCATGAAAGCAGCACCGGCACCCAAGTACACATGCCTTATCACAGACCACCCACCCTATTACCAAAGTGAGTGATGCCATCAGTATACTTGCAGCTCAGGGTCTTATGATCATGAATTAGTGCCAGCAAAGTCAGCTGGAACTGGAGACAGGAAGGAAACCAGATGCAATCGGTCTGATTTCATTCAAGCTCAAGTAAGTTCAATTTCACATTGACTGGGATTCACAGCAGGTGCCAGGCAACAGCAGGACACAGATTCTCCAAGAAAAGCACAGGCAGCAGGACAGGTGAGAGAGAGGGGAAAAGGGACAGGAAGGCAGGACAAAGGCAAAGACAGGCAAAAATAAGAGATGGGGAGCAGGACAGAGTTGGAGGTAAGAAAGCCAGGGCTGGGCAGCAGGACAGAGAGATGGAAGGACAAACAACACACTGTGCTGCTGACTGAGAAATACCAGTGACAGAGAGCAGGACAGAGTCATGGTGGTGGGGAGCCCTAAGAGGAAGTATGACAGAAAAATGGGGGGGACAGGGCAAAGACAGGGAGCAGGAGGGAAACAGAGAAAATGAGAGGGACGGAGCAGGGCAGAGGCAGAGAAAGAAGGGAAAGAAGAGAAAGGCAGCAGAACTAAAAGAAAGAGAGAAAAGAGCAGGGACGGAATGCAAGACAAAGTGATGGATCAGAAAATCCTGATGGGCTTCAGGCTCAAGATGAAGGAATGAAAAAAATGGGAATTCAGTCAGCTGATTGGAGCTAGCCCAGCGAGAGCCGCAGCCGGCACGCTACAGCGATATCAAACTTCTACCGAGATTAGGAAAATCAGAGGGGATAGTGCAGAGCCATCGCGATTCCCGACATTTCTCGACATTTCCTGATTCCCGAAGTCCCAGCAGCCCTTGCGAGAGAGCGGCTGACGTGGCGGGGGGCGTTCCCACCGTGA